ATGTGCAACTAGATAGCAAATGTGTCCGATGTCATGTGAAGACAGATCATTGTTCTTCCAAACTGTGGGCAACGGCCTGGTGATGTTGTCCTTTTTTATTTATTTATCTATCATGTCAGGAGCAACCAGACATTTGTATTACATTTTTAACAAAACAAACAAATAGACAAAACACAAACTTGGTAGTTGATTAAATGTCCTTTGACCAGTATCTGGCCACTTGGAGTGCCTCTGGCGTTGCCGCAAGGAGGTCCTCCATGGTGCATGTGGCTGGGCTCAGGTTGCATCGCAGCAGGAGGTCAGTGGGGGCTTCAGTCCAGCAGAGTTGATGGCGTAGGAGCATCGCTTCAATGCTGGTCATCTTTGCTTCTTCTTCTAGCACGCTGACATTGGTCTGCCTATCTTCCCAAGAGATTTGCAGGATTTTTGGAGGCAATGCTGATGGAATCATTCCAGGTGTGGAGTGTGACGGTTGTAGGCAGTCCACATTTCGCACGCGTGTAACAGGGTTGGGAGGACAATGGCTTTATAAACAAGCACCTTGATATCCCTACAGATGTCCCAGTCCTCAAACACTCTCTGCTTCATTCAGAAAAATGCTGCACTCGCAGAGCTCAGGCAGTGTTGTACAGGGTTAGTCAAAATGAAAAGGCCAATAAGAAAATTAATTTTAGACAAATGTATGTTTACTGTAACCAAACCACAGCTACGTAGCGACAGATAAACTATCAAAGTTTTGTCTCACCTTCAGAGATGTTCGATATGGGCGCCCCGTGTGACACGGCAGATGTCCAAGCGATAGTCCAGTTCATTCCACATCCGTTGCAGCACATCCGACGTAATGGCATCGAATGCAGCAACGTCTGGGAAGGTGTTCGTTGAGGTCCTAACCCTAACCCTAACCCTAACCCTAACCCTAACCCTAACCCTATCCCTATCCCTATCCCTAACCCTAACCCTAACCCTAACCCTAACCCTAACCCTAACCCTAACCCTAACCCTATCCCTATCCCTAACCCTAACCCTAACCCTAACCCTAACCCTAACCCTAACCCTAACCCTAACCCTAACCCTAACCCTAACCCTAACCCTAACTCTAACCCTAACCCTAACCCTAACCCTTGAAATTCTCGCTGGACCGTAATTACTGACATTGTTTTAGCAAATGTCATCACACAAAACGCCTTCTCTTTGCTTGATTCCGCCATTTTGAAAACAGCGACCCCTAGCGACGCCTAGCGGCATTAACGTACATGTGTGTTGCTCAAAAAAAACTTTGATAGTTTATCTGTTGCTACGTAGCTGTGGTTTGGTTACAGTAAACATACATTCGTCTAAAATTAATTTTCTTATTGGCCTATTCATTTTGACTAACCCTGTATTTTGGTGTCAATGTTGATGTCTGTAGACAGTCCACGTTTCGCAGGCGTATCGCAGGGTTGGGAGGACAATAGCTTTATGAACAAGCCCCTTGGTCTCCCTACGGATGTCCCAGTCCTCAAACACTCTCTGCTTCATTCAGAAAAATGTTGCACTCGCAGAGCTCAGGCAGTGTTGTATTTTGGTGTCAATGTTGATGCCTGTAGACAGTCCACGTTTCACAGGCGTACAGCAGGGTTGGGAGGACAATGGCTTTATAAACAAGCACCTTGATATCCCTACAGATGTCCCAGTCCTCAAACACTCTCTGCTTCATTCAGAAAAATGCTGCACTCGCAGAGCTCAGGCAGTGTTGTATTTTGGTGTCAATGTTGATGCCTGTAGACAGTCCACGTTTCGCAGGCGTATCGCAGGGTTGGGAGGACAATAGCTTTATGAACAAGCCCCTTGGTCTCCCTACGGATGTCCCAGTCCTCAAACACTCTCTGCTTCATTCAGAAAAATGTTGCACTCGCAGAGCTCAGGCAGTGTTGTATTTTGGTGTCAATGTTGATGCCTGTAGACAGTCCACGTTTCACAGGCGTACAGCAGGGTTGGGAGGACAATGGCTTTATAAACAAGCACCTTGATATCCCTACAGATGTCCCAGTCCTCAAACACTCTCTGCTTCATTCAGAAAAATGCTGCACTCGCAGAGCTCAGGCAGTGTTGTATTTTGGTGTCAATGTTGATGCCTGTAGACAGTCCACGTTTCGCAGGCGTATCGCAGGGTTGGGAGGACAATAGCTTTATGAACAAGCCCCTTGGTCTCCCTACGGATGTCCCGGTCCTCAAACACTCTCTGCTTCATTCAGAAAAATGTTGCACTCGCAGAGCTCAGGCAGTGTTGTATTTTGGTGTCAATGTTGATGCCTGTAGACAGTCCACGTCTCACAGGCATAGAGCAGGGTTGGGAGGACAATAGCTTTATGAACAAGCCCCTTGGTCTCCCTACGGATGTCCCGGTCCTCAAACACTCTCTGCTTCATTCAGAAAAATGCTGCACTCGCAGAGCTCAGGCTGTGTTGTATTTCTTAAGTGTATGTATACTAAGATTTGAAGATATTCATATATGAAATAAAACTCTGGAGATAACCAAAGACTAAAGATTGATAATTTCATGTGATCTCTTTCTTCTATGGATCCTTCCATTCTGTAGGGAGGAGAGGATTGTTTAGTTTTCTGTAAAGCGCCATCTTATACATTTTCTGACTTTTATGTTTAAAGCCAGCAATATGGAACCATTTTGTGTTGAGAAATACATTTTAGCTCTCCTCCTCAGCACATAAGAAGTCCAATGTCTGCATTTCTCAATGCAAACTTGTCTGTGAAGGCTATGAGTGCAAATAAATATTGATCCCCAGGCCTTTTAAAATTGATTTGTAGCTTATTGCACATAAGACCTGTGTGAGGATGGTGGATAAGTGATGTGACAGTTATGCCTCATAGGCAAGAAAAGAGCTACTTCCCCCTGTTGTTGTTGCACTCAGGTTTCCCCCATTCAGGTTTGTGCAGTTGGGATGAAATTGACTTTGATTGTCTTTGCATTGCCCACTATTTTGGCTTTGATCAAAGGTATTATAAATACATGTCCTATTTCAGATTTCTCTAAATATAAAATAGGGCCGCGGTAGCACAGCGGGTTAAACCGCTAGCTGCAGGAAAGCTGCTGACCAGAAGGTTGGCAATTCAAAGCCGCAAGGTCTCGACTGTCAGTCCCAGCTCCTGCCAACCTAGCAGTTCGAAAGCATGCCATGCAGGTAGATCAATAGGTACCAGCTTGGTGGGAAGATAAAAAGGTGCCCAATGCAGACATGCTGGCAAAACACGATCAGAGATGTTAATTGACAACAGGCTCCTTGACATGGAAAATGGAACAAGAGCACCTCCCCATGGCCGGAGTTGAGCATCGCCTCCAGACGCCGGAGATGGAAAAAAGGGGAATCCCTTTACCTTTGTCTCTCTTGTATGTTGTTGTCCACTGTATGTGTGTAAAAAGGCATTGAATATTTGCCTCATGTGTATTGTAATCAACTCTGAGTCCCTCCGGGGAGATAAAGTGGAATATAAATAAAGTGTATTATTATTATTATTATTATTATTATTATTACATTCTTGTTTACATTATGCCAGGTATTGTTTTCAATATTCTGCCTATATTTTAGCGTGGAGAGAAAATCACTTTGGCTATCAAGAAAAGCTGGTAGAGAATTTAAACCAGGCATGGGCAAACTTTCTAACTTGGGGGATGGATTGGGGGGGGAGGGCTTTCTCCCCAGGCCCTTTCCTTTTCTCCCCTTCTCTTCTTTTTTTGGAGGCAGAAAGTGAAGGAAAGACAGGAAACGTTTGGATCCCAAAAGGGTTGGCTTTGGTGGGCAGGAGAGGAAAAGTGTATTCATTACACCCCGTATTTCCTGCCCCTGATAATAGAAACCAAGAACCCTAGAGCTGGAAGAGACCCCAAAGGGCCACTCAGTCCTACCCAATGTCATATGCAAGGCACAATCAAAGCACTCCCAATAGACAGCCTCTGCAGAGAAGCCTCTGGAGAAGGAGACAAAAGGGAAGGAAGGAGAAAAGGAGAGAAGGAAGGAAGGAGGAAAGAGGGAAGGAAGGAAGAAATGAAGACAAATGGAAGGAAGGAGAAAGGGGGAGAGAGAAGGAAGGAGGAAAGAGGGAAGGAAGGAAGGGTGGAAAAGAGTGGAAGAAGGAGGGAAGACAAAAGGGAAGGAAGGAGGAAAGAGGGAAGGAAGGAAAAGAATGAAGGAAGGAGGGAAGACAAAAGGGAAGGAAGGAGAAAGGGAGAGAGAGGGGGAAGGAAGGAGGGAGGTAAGGAAGGAAAGGTGGAAAAGAATGGAGGGAAGACAAAAGGGAAGGAAGGAGAAAGGGAGAGAGAGAGGGAAGGAAGGAGGGAGGGAAGGAAGGAAGGAAAGGTGGAAAAGAATGGAGGGAGGGAAGACAAAAAGGAAGGAAGGAGAAAGGGAGACAGGGAAGGAGGGAGGAAAGGGTGGAAGGGAAGAATGGATGGATAGATGGATGGATGGAAGGAAAGGAGGGAGGTGAGGGAGGGAGGGAGTGAAGGAGGAAGGAAAGAGAGAGGGAAGGATAGGATGACGAGAGAGAGGAGGGCCTAAGAGCTCAAGGCGCTGCATCTGGCCCCCGGGTCTGGGTTTGCCCACATCTGATTTAAATGTTAGCTTGCTGAGCGTTTTCTGGGCTGTGTGGCCATGTTCCAGAAGCATTCTCTTCTGATATTTCACCCACATCTATGACAGGCATAGATGTGGGCGAAACGTCAGGAGAGAATGTTTCTAGAACATGGCCACACAGCCCAGAAAACTCTCAGCAACACAGTGATTCCAGCCTTGAAAGCTTTCAACACCACAATTTAAATGCTGAGATGCCGGACAGTAGAAAAGCAGTGGACTTGAAATGTATTATGTGAAGCCTTGCGATTTCCATGCCTGTTTATTTGCCCAGGTGAAGAGGCTGTGTTATGGAGCCCAGAATCCCGCCTTGCCGTGCTTTGTTTTCATGGGTGTTGCTTTCTCTCTTTCCCCCACCGTCTTCTGTTTCTGCAGCCATAGACCTTTTGTATGGGGGTATATACTGCTTTATGTGTCAAGATTACATATACGACAAAGATATGGAACAAATTGCCAAAGAAGAACAACGGAAAGCTTGGAAGCTACAAGGTTTGGTTTTCTTTCAGTCTCTCCCTGAATGAATGCTCACTTGAATCCTTAGCCATTCCTGGCCTTCTCGTCCCGGCCTTTCGTCCGGTTGTAGAGAATTATTCTCTCCCAAGACTAGTTTGTTCACTACCCACACCTCACTGAATCACAATAGCCACCATAAAATATTGTTATTATGCAGAGCTAACAATAAACAGGATTAATTGACCCATTTCTGCCCCTTAGGAAAGGCCACCTTTGCCCCGTGTGACTGTCTTGTAGAATATCCCACCTAAGCACATGCTATTGTTTTCACGTACAGCATGTGTATATATATATATCTATCTGTCGATTTTAACACACAAGTATATGTGCCCGCCACGTTTGTTTTATTATTCAGTTTGCTTTCCCTAATTTTTTCTTTTTTAGCCTTCACCCCAACAATGGTTTCTCACTACCAGTGTACAATGACAGGTAAGATGTGTTGAGCGGGTGGCGCATTGCACTAACCCAGCCTCCCTTTGCTGATTCTCTGCCATTGTAGTCCAGAGTCCTCCTCCATGTCTAATGCCACCCTTGCATATTGCTTTACCTTTGGCCAAAATGTCTGTGTCGGAATATGTGAACGTGATAAAGAGATATTTCCATTGCCTTTCCACGACTCAACAACTTCAAATTATACTCCCCCTTATCGTTTTTTAATGGAACAGGAACGTAACTATTATTATTATTATTATTATTATTATTATTATTATTATTATTTCTGAAACAATCAGTGCCTAAATCTAGATTTAACTGCTTCGGAATTGGCTCCTAAAAATAAATATACCATCCCACCGCACCTTCTTGTCAATGCTTAACATTGATGAAAGGTGATATATCCTCAGCAAAACTGTTTAGACCAGTGTTTCTCAACCTTCCTAATTCCGCAAATCCCGTAATCCAGTTCCTCACGCTGTGGTGACCCCATCCATAACATCATTTTGTAGCTTCTTCATACTTGTAATTTTGCAACTCTTATGAATCGTCATGTAAATATCTGATATGCAGAATGTATTTTCATTCACTGGACCAAATTTGGCACAAACACCCAATACACCCAAATTCGAATACCAGTGGGGTTCATTTTGTCATTTGGGAGTTGTAGTTGCTGGAATGTATAGTTCACCTACAAGCAAAGAGCATTCTGATCTCTACCAATGATGGAATTCCCACGACAAAATTCCCACGATCAACAGAAAATACTGGAAGGCTTTGGTGGGCATTTGGTGGGCATTGACCTTGAGTTTGGGACTTGTAGTTCACCTATTTCCAGAGAGCACAAACAATGATGGATCTAGACCAAACTTGGAACCAGATACTCAATATGCCCAAATGTGAACCCTGGTGGAGTTTGGGGAAAATAGACCTTGACATTTGGGAGTTGGTGTTGCTGGGATTTAACCCATTGGCAACAGAATACTCAATATGCCCAAATGTGGACACTGGTGGAGTTGGAGGAAAACAGACCTTGACATTTGGGAGTTGTAGTTACTGGGATTGATAGTTTACCTCCAATCAAGGAGCATTCTTAACCCTACCAATGATAGAATGGGGCCAAACTTCCCACATTGAACCCCTATGGCCAACAGAATACTCAATATGCCCAAATGTGGACACTGGTGGAGTTGGAGGAAAACAGACCTTGACATTTGGGAGTTGTAGTTACTGGGATTGATAGTTTACCTCCAATCAAGGAGCATTCTTAACCCTACCAATGATAGAATGGGGCCAAACTTCCCACATTGAACCCCTATGGCCAACAGAATACTCAATATGCCCAAATGTGGACACTGGTGGAGTTGGAGGAAAACAGACCTTGACATTTGGGAGTTGTAGTTACTGGGATTTATAGTTTACCTCCAATCAAGGAGCATTCTGAACCCTACCAATGATAGAATTGGGCGACACTTCCCACATTGAACCCCTATGGCCAACAGAATACTCAATATGCCCAAATGTGGACACTGGTGGAGTTGGAGGAAAACAGACCTTGACATTTGGGAGTTGTAGTTACTGGGATTTATAGTTCACCTACAACCAAAGAGCATTCTGAACCCCTTCAATGATAGAATTGGGCCAATCTTCCCACACAGAACCCCCATGGCCAACAGAAAATAGTGGAAGGGTTTGGTGGACATTGACGTTGAGTTTTGGAATTATAGTTCAGCTACCTCCAGAGAGCACTGTGGTCTCAAACAATGATCGATCTGGACCAAACTTGGCACAGATACACAGTATGCCCAAATGTGTACACTGCTGGAATTTAGGGAAAATAGACCTTGACATTTGGGTTAGCTGTAGTTGCTGGGATTTATAGTTCACCTACAATCAAAGAGCATTCTGAACTGCACCAATTGACTTGATCGATTAGTGACAATAGGGAAAATTTTGAGCCTAGTTTGGACTTGGAACAGATACTCGATATGCCCAAATGTGTACACTGCTGGAGTTTAGGGAAAACCAACCTTGACATTTGGGCATTGTAGCTATTGGGATTTATAGTTCATCTACAATCAAAGACCATTCTGAACCTCCCCAACGATAGAATTGGGCCAAACTTCCTACACAGAACCCCCATGTCCAACATAAAATACTGGGAGGATTTGATGGACATTGACTTTGACTTTTGGAGTTGTTGTTCAGCCACCTGCAGAGAGCACTGTGGACTCAAAACAATGATGGATCTGGATCAAACTTGGCACAGATACACAGTATGCCCAAATGTGAACACTGGTGGAGTTTGGGGGAAATAGACCTTGACATTTGGGAGTTGTAGTTGCTGGGATTTATAGTTCACTTACAATCAAAGAGCATTCTGAACCTCACCAATGACGAAATTGAACCAAACTTGGCACACAGAACTCCCCTGACCAAAAGAAAATCCTGGAAGGGTTTAGTGGGCATCGACCTTGAGTTTTGGAGTTGTAGTTCACCTATATCCAAAGAGTATTTATAGTTCACCTACAATCATTCTGAATCCCACCAACAATAGAATTTGGCCAAACTTCTCACACAGAACCCCCATGACCAACAGAAAATGCTGTGTTTTCTGATGGTCTTTGACGACCCCTCTGACACCCCCCTTGTGACCCCCCCTCGGGGTCCCAACCCCCCAGGTTGAGAAACTCTGGTTTAAATGCCTTTTCTTTGAAGTAGTCCAGTCAGGAGAAGGGGAAGGCTAGTGATGATTTTTTTTGCAATGAAGAAATGATGATGTATGTCAGAATGGTCTGCGCAAATGCCATTTCAGAAGAGAAGCTGACGGCACGTGTCGGGGACAGTATTTTTAAACCCTGTGTTTTGTTTAGCACTTGAATAACCTCTTAAACATGTTCAAATGCGCTTGTCTTTGGCTTGAGAGGGAATTAACTTGAAAGAGCAAAACAGTTGCACTGGGCAGAAGCAACGGAGTATAGACTCGTCACTTGGAATTGCAGGCTTAGCGCTCAATGTACTTCCAAGTGCCATTGGAATGGATGCCACTTTTGCTCATTTCCCTAAGCAGTGGGGCACAACAGGATGTTAGGGTTGGGGTTTCCCAGTGTCCTTCTTTTGCAGAAGGAGAGATTATTTGGGCATGTTCTCATGGTGATTATTTGGGCATGTTCTCATGGTCTTGATTGGCATTGGAAACTCACCTGGTTTATTCCTTGATCAGGTACCGGTTACAACAGGTATGGGCAAACTCTGGCCCTTCCTCCAGGCCTTTTGGTCTTCAATTCCCATGATTGCTGTTAGGAGTTAATGTAACTCTCTGCCCCGGAGTGTGGTGGAGGCTCCTTCTTTGGAAGCTTGTAAACAGAGGCTGGATGGCCATCTGTCAGGGATGCTTTGAATGCAATATTCCTGCTTCTTGGCAGGGGATTGGACTGGATGGCCTATGAGGTCTCTTCCAACTCTAGGATTCTATGATTCTAATGTCGAACGCTTTCGTGGCCAGAATCCCTGGGTTGTTGTGAGTTTTCCAGACTGTACGACCCTGTTCTAGAAGCATTCTCTCCTGACATTTCACCTGCATCTATGGCAGGTATCCTCAGAGGTTGTGAGATCTGCTGGAAACAAGGCAAGTGAGGTTTATATACCTGTGGAATAATGTCCAGGGTGGGAGAAAGAACTCTTGTCTATTGGAGGCAAGTGTAAATGTTGCCATTGGCCACCCTGATTAGCATTGAATAGCCTTGCAGCTTCAAAGCTTAGCTGGTTCTTGCCTGGGGGAATCCTTTGTTGGGAGGTGTTCATAGAATCATAGAATCAGAGTTGGAAGAGACCTATGATTCTAATGTCGGAAGTCTTTCGTTGCTGGAATCCCTGGATCGTTGTGAGTTTTCCGTACTGTACGACTCTGTTCTAGAAGCATTCTCTCCTGATGTTATGCCTGCATCTATGGCAGGTATCCTCAGAGGTTGTGAGGTCTGCTGGAAACAAGGCAAGTGAGGTTTATATACCTGTGGAATAATGTCCAGGGTGGGAGAAAGAACTCTTGTCTGTTGGAGGCAGGTGTTGAATGTTGCAATGGGCCAGCTTGATTAGCATTGAATGGCCTTGCAGCTCCAAGGTCTGGCTGCTTACTTCCTGTTTATATATCTGTGGAATGATGTCCAGGGTAGGAGAAAGAACTCTTGTCTGTTGGAGGCAGGTGTGAATGTTGCAACTGGCCAGCTTGACTAGCATTGAATGGCCTTGCAGCTCCAAGGTCTGGCTGCTTACTTCCTGTTTATATATCTGTGGAATGATGTCCAGGGTGGGAGAAAGAACTCTTGTCTGTTGGAGGCAAGTGTGAATGTTGCCATTGGCTACCTTGATTAGCATTGAATAGCCTTGCAGCTTCAATAATAATAATAATAATAATAATAATTATTATTATTATTATTATTTTTACCCCACCACCATCTCCCCGCTGGGGACTCGGGGCGGCTTACATGGGGCCAAGCCCAGACAAGAAATTGCAGCAGAATAAAACTGAAAACGCAAACAATAAACAACAACATCATAATTACATGACACATATGAATGCATAACAGTATAAAATTACAATAAACACAAAGCTTCAAAGCTTGGCTGGTTCCTGCCTGGGGGAATCCTTTGTTGGGAGGTGTTCGCTGATCCTAATTGTTTATTGTCTGAAATTTCCCGGTTTTTTAGCATTTCAGGCAGCAACCAGCCAAGCTTTGAAGCTGCAAGGCCGTTCAGTTCTAATCAAGGTGGCCAATCGCAACATTCACGCCTACCTCAAACAAACAGTGTGGATGCCTGCCATTGATGCAGGTGAAACGTCAGGAGAGAATGCTTCTGGAACATGGTCATACAGCCTTTCTCCCACCCTGGACATCATTCCACAGATATATAAACCCAATTTTCCTAGTTTCCAACTGACCTCACAACCTATGAGGATCCCTGCCATAGATGTGGGCGAAACATCAGGAGTGAATGCTTCTGGAATGTGGCCATACAGCCTGGAAAACTCACAACAACCCAGTGTGGGAGTTGACATCCAAATCACCTGGAAGCTAGTTTCCAAGAGACCTCACAACTTATGAGGAAGCTTGCCATAGATGTGGGTGAAACGTCAGGAGAGAATGCTTCTGGAACGTGGCCGTACAGCCTGAAAAACTACCAACAACCCAGTGTGGGGTTTGATGTCCAAAACACCTGGAGGCTAGTTTCCATCATACACAGTGTGGGAGTTGACGTCCAAAACCCCTGGAGGCTAGTTTCCAACAGACCTCACAACCTATGAGGAAGCTTGCCGTAGATGTGGGCGAAACGTCAGGAGAGAATGCCTCTAGAACGTGGCCATATAGCCTGGAAAACTCACAACAACCCAGTGTGGGGGTTGATGTCCAAAACACCTGGGGGCTAGTTTCCAACAGACCTCACAACCTATGAGGAGGCCTGCCATAGATGTGGGCAAAACGTCAGGAGAGAATGCTTCTAGAACGTGGCCGTACAGCCTGGAAAACTCACAACAACCCAGTGTGGAAGTCCAAAACACCTTGAGGCTCGTTTCCAACAGATCTCACAACCTATGAGGAGGCCTGCCATAGATGTGGGTGAAACTTCAGGAGAGAATGCTTCTGGAATGTGGCCAGGCATCCTGGAAAACTCACAACAAGCCAGTGTGGGAGTTGAGGTCTAAAACACCTGGAGGCTAGTTTCCAGCATACACAGTTTGGGAGTTGACGTCCAAAACACCTCGAGGCTAGTTTCTAACAGACCTCACAACCTCTGAGGGTGCCTGCCGTAGATGTGGGCAAAAGGTCAGGAGAGAATGCTTCTAGAACATGGCCATACAGCCTGGAAAACTCACCAGTGTGGGAGTTGATGTCCAAAACACCCGGAGGCTCGTTTCCAACAGACCTCACAACCCATGAGGAAGCTTGCCGTAGATGTGGGCGAAAGGTCAGGAGAGAATGCTTCTGGAACGTGGCCATACAGCCTGGAAAACTCACAACAACCCAGTGTGGGAGTTGAGGTCCAAAACACTTGGCGGGCCAAAGTTTGCCAATGCATAGGGTTGCAACATAGAGTGGTACAGCTTGCATGGCAGAAACCTTAGCTCCAGTCTCAACTCTCCTATGAAACTAATGGTAGTTTTAGTCCAGCTACAATTATTCTAATTGCAATATACACCTAACATAAAGATGGTTGCAATAACAAATGAGAAAATAATATTGACACACCATAGTCTGTCCTAACCCAGTATTGCTTGCTCTCTCGCTTGCCTATCTGTTCCTTTGTAACAGGGGGAAAAGTATAGCAACATATGTGTGCCCGTGCGCCTGGAAATTCTGCAAGTAAATTGAACTGGTCCTTAACTATCCCCTGGTTAGCTATAGGTTTCTGTCAGAAACAACCTACTGTCAGACTCCTTTATGCCATTGCAGTGTTGTTTCTCATGTTAAAATTTGTGTTTTTGGACGAGTGAAAGCAGTAGTAGTTTCTATCAGCAAATTATTAGCTCCTTTACTACGAGGGTTGAATGAAAATGCCTCCACCTTTATAACTCCTCAACAGATGACAGTCCTGGTATGTGGCAGGTACTGGCTTGTTCAGGAGACTCTCCTCTACAGCTCCATTTTGGCAGGAAGCCTTAGCATTGAACGGTTGTGTTGTTAAAGTGCAAAATATGGAACCCTGCGCAGACGGTCGGTCAATGCGCCTTAAGCAACGTATGCGACAGGTACTGGCTTGTTCAGGAGACTCTCCTCTACAGCTCCATTTTGGCAGGAAGCCTTAGCATTGAACTGTGTGTTGTTAAAGTGCAAAATATGGAACCCTGCGCAGACGGTCGGTCAATGCGCCTTAAGCAACGTATGCGACAGGTACTGGCTTGTTCAGGAGACTCTCCTCTACAGCTCCATTTTGGCAGGAAGCCTTAGCATTGAACGGTTGTGTTGTTAAAGTGCAAAATATGGAACCCTGCGCAGACGGTCGGTCAATGCGCCTTAAGCAACGTATGCAGCAGGTACTGGCTTGTTCAGTACACTCCTCTATAGTTCCATTTTGGCAGGAAGCCTTAACATTGAACGTTTGTATTGTTGAAGTGCAAAGTATGGAACCCTGCGCAGACAGTCGGTCAATGCGCTTTAAGCAACGTATGCGGCAGGTACTGGCTTGTTCAGTAGGCTCTGCTCTACAGTTCCATTTTGGCAGGAAGCCATAGCATTGAACGATTGTTTTGTGAAAGTGCGAAGTATGGAACCCTGCGCAGATGGTCAGTCAGTGCGATTTAAGCAACGTGCCATCATTGAATTCTTGACAGCAGAAGGTGTCACCCCAAAGGAGATTCATCAGAGAATGCATGCTGTTTATGGTGATTGTGTGGATGTGAGTACTGTGCATCATAGGGCGAGTAAGTTTAAAGATGTTGAAGCATACTTTGCACTTTAACAACATAAGCGTTCAATGCTAAAGCTTCCCGCCAAAATGGAACTGTAGAGGAGAGTCTGCTGAACAAGCCAGTACTTGCTGCATTCATTGCTTAAGTAACATTGATCAACCGTATGTGCAGGGTTCCATACTTTGCACTCTAACAGCACAACCATTCAATGCTAAGGCTTCCTGCCAAAATGGAACTGTAGAGGAGAGTCTCCTGAACAAGCCAGTACCTGCCGCATTCGTTGCTTAAGTCACATTGACCGACTGTCTGCACAGGGTTCCATACTTTGCATTTTAACAATGCTAAGGCTTCCCTCCAAAATGGAAGTGTAGAGGAGAGTCTGCTGAACAAGCCAGTACCTGCCACATACCAGTACTGCCATCTGTGGAGGAGTTACGAAGGTGAAGGCATTACTTGTAAATGTGATACATGTATGAAAAACTTTGGTGAAGATTCTGGCTAAACTTCCGAGAAATCGCTTTGTCACACGTGTTTTTCTCTCATTGCGCATCATCTATTACTGCAAATTGTAGGCTGCATACTGCGTTCAAATCACTGCAGCCATGCAACCCAAATTGCAATGGAAATTTGATATTTCCCTTATTTTTTCTGAGTGGCAGCCTTCCCTTTAGGTGTAAGGAATTCCTATTGAGAAGAAAGGAAAGTGACATAAGATGTACATTACTTATGGTGAAGTGCAACCTGCTTCCCTTCTTTTGTTGGTAGGAGATCTCAAGAGATGAATAACCTTCCATTACTAGAAGATAGTTTACTTCACTATTTGGAAGGCTTTGGGGCACCGGAGCAGAAGACACATTAGACCAGTGGTTCTCAACCTTCCTAATGCCACAACCCCTGAATACGGTTCCTCATGTGTGGTGGCCCCCGACCAGAACATTATTTTCGTTGCCACGTCACAACTGTACTTTTGCTCCTGTTATGAATCGTCATGTAAATATCTGATATGCAGGATGTATTTTCATTCACTGGACCAAATTTGGCACAAATACCTGATACGCCCACATTTGAATACCGGTGGGGTTGATTTTGTCATTTGGGAGTTGTAGTTGCTGGGATTTGTAGTTCACCTATAGTAAGAAAGCATTTTCAACTCCACCAACAACAGAATTGAACCAGTCTTGGCACACAGAACTCCCATGAACAACAGAAAATTCTGGAAGGGTTTGGTGAGCAATGACCTTGAGTTTGGGAGTTGTAGTTCACCTACATCCAGAGAGCACTGTGGACTCAAACAATGATGGATCTGGACCAAACTTGGCACAGATACTCAATATGCCCAAATGTGGACACTGATGGAGTTGGAGGAAAATAGACCTTGACATTTGGGAGTTGTAGTTGCTGGGCCTCTCTGAACCTAAAGAGAATGCCGGGTGCTTGAAACACATTCCTGTGTGAGAGGCAATCTGCTGTTGTGCTTTTTAGTTGGTGTTTTTTCACCCATTGTTGTGTGTGTAGAGGGAGCGCTGCTCCTTAGAAACAGAATTTGATACCATTAATGGCTTTTGTGTGCTTTTCAGCACATGTTTCAAGGAATGCATTGTGAAGACAAACTTCCTGAACTATAGCAAAAAGCAAGGCAGTTGGGTTGTTGTACGTTTTTCGGGCTATATGGCCATGTTCTAGAAGCATTCTCTCCTGACGTTTTACCTGCATCTATGGCAAGCATCTTCAGAGGTTGTGAGGTCTGTTGGAAACTAGGAAAATGGAGTTTGTATATCTGTGGAAAGTCTAGGGTGGGAGAAAGAACTCTTGTCTGTTTGAGGCAAGTGTGAATGTACCAACTGACCACTTTGATTAGCATTGAATGGACTAGCAGTTTCAAGGTGTAGCTTCTTACTTCTTGGGGGAATCCTTTGTTGGGAGGTGCTTGGCTGGCCCTGACAGTCAGAGGCAAACATGAATGTTGCAATTAGCCACCTTGTTTAGCGATGAATGGACTAGAAGTTTTCAAGGTCTAGCTCCTTACTGCCTGGGGGAATCCTTTGTTGGGAGGTGCTTAGCTGGCCCTGACTGTTAGAGGCAAACATGAATGTTGAAATTAGCCACCTTGTTTAGCATTGAATGGCCTAGAAGTTTTCAAGGTCTGGCTTCTTACTGCCTGGGGGAATCCTTTGTTGGGAGGTGCTTAGCTGGCCCTGACTGTTAGAGGTCTAACCGTATGCCCCAACAGACTTGTTAAGGTCCTGATGTTTCGCCTGCATCTATGGCAAGCATTCTCAGACTTCACAACCTCTGCGGTCACCTCACAACCTCCGAGGATGCTTGCCATAGAAGCAGGCGAAACTTCAGGAGAGAATGCTTCTAGAACATGGCCATATAGCCCGAAAAACCTACAACAACCCAGTGATTCCAGCCATGAATGCCTTCGACAAAGCAAGGCAGTTGTTGGGGTGAGGCGCATAAAGGAATCCAACTTAATGCACAGTGCAGTTTACACTAAAAATATTCTTATAGTTCTTTAAGTAAACAAGCCCTTGAAATGCGTATATATTTCTTTTCATCAGGTATTGGAGAGAAGTATTCAACTTGGGAGCCAACCAAACGAGAGTTAGAGCTGCTTCGACACAACCCCAAACGGAGAAAAATAACTACAAACTGCACCATAGGTAAGAGGAAACCTGCATTTTCCATACCAGTCTGCAAAAGTCTTCCAGGAATTCTAGGGAGACTGTTCCTGGAAGAATAGGGACCCAATGGAGAATCTCGAAGAGCCCCGCTTCAATGTATTTTTTGCTTGTGTAGACTCCGTGATGGGCAAGTATCAAAGCCAAGTCAGAGCGTAGACTTGAGGACTACAGCTTGTTAGTAGGATAAGTGCACAGCGTCGTTGCTTGCTTCAATTTGCAGCCTCAACTTCAGATGGAACCATTGAGACGTCCTCCTTCCTTTATAGATTTTGTGCTTCAGCAGTTCTTTCTCTCAGTGTTTCATTATTGACATGCTGCTCAATCTGTACAGAAAGAAGAGCTGTTTTGAAAGGTAGGTATGGCTTGGAATGGCTGGGAAAAAAGAAGATTTGCATCATCTCAGTTCGCTTCTGGATCTCTTGAAATGATGGATGATGTGCCCTGTGTAGAAGTAGGAAAACAGGAGCAATGAACCTATGGCTCCCCTTCTATTGCTTAATATCAATGCCTTTGAGCCTCACCTTGCACGGCACATGGGAAAGGAATGGGAATGTTTCCGCTGGTTGCCAATGACCACATTTGAATGGGGGACTATTTATTTATCGTGTCATCCGCAACCAGAACATTGTATTACATTTCTAACAGAACAAAACAAACAAACAGATTAAAAAAAACAAAACACAAATTTTGCAAACTTGGTAGCTGATTAAATGTCCTTTGACCAGTCTCTGGCCCCTTGGAGTGGCTCTGGTGTTGCCGCAAGAAGGTCCTCCATGGTGCGTCATGTGGCAGGGCTCAGGGTGCATTGCAGCAGGTGGTCAGTGGTTTGCTCTTCTCCACACTCGCATGTCGTGGATTCCATTTGTGGCCCCATTTCTTGAGGTTGGCTCTGCATCTCGTGGTGCCAGAGCGCAGTCTGTTCAGCGCCTTCCAAGTCTGTGTGCCCAGGGGGGAGTCTCTCATCTGGTATCACCCTCGGATTGAGGTGCTGGGTTTGAGCCTGCCACTTTTGAACCCTCGCTTGCTGAGATGTTCCAGCGAGTGTCTCTGTAGATCTTAGAAAACTATTTCTTGGTTTAAGTCGTTGACGTGCTGGCTGATACCCAAACAAGGGATGGGCTGGGGATTTCTCTGCCTTGGTCCTTTCACTATTGGCTGCTACTTCCCGGCAGATGTCAGGTGGTGCAATACCGGCTAAGAAGTGTAATTTCTCCAGTGGTGTAGGGCGCAGACACCCTGTGATAATGCGGCATGTCTCATTAAGAGCCACATCCACTGTTTTAGCGTGATGAGATGTGTTCCACACTGGGTATGCGTACTCAGCAGCAGAGTAGCATAGCACAAGGGCGGATGTCTTCACTGTATCTGGTTGTGATCCCCAGGTTGTGCCAGTCAGCTTTCGTATGATATTGTTTCTAGCACCCACTTTTTGCTTGATGTTCAGGCAGTGCTTCTTGTAGGTCAGAGAACGGTCCAGAGTGGGTGCGCTGCAATGCTCCAGTGGGATTCCTTCCCAGGTAATAATCCTCGGGATGCTTGTCTGTTCTTAAGGTGAAAGGCACATGTCTGTGTTTTAGATGGATTAGGGATCAGTTGGTTTTCCCTGTAATAGGCAGTAAGAGAACCTAGAGCTTCGGAGAGCTTCTGTTCAACCATCTCAAAGCTCCCTGCTTGAGCGGTAAAGGCACGATCATCAGCATAGATGAAATTCTCTGTCCCTTCTGGCAGTGGCTGGTCATTTGTGTAGATGTTGAACATGGATGGAGCAAGCACGCTCCCCTGAGGCAGGCCGTTCTTCTGTTTCCGCCATCTGCTTCTCTGGCCCTGGAACTCAACAAAAAAGCTCCTGTTTTGTAGCAGGTTTCCTATGAGGTGGGTGATTAATAGAAACTAAACTCTGTAATTCTGAAGGGTTGCAGGTTCAGATTTGTGACTCCATATGCGTACTCTAATAAGAACAGACAACCTGGTGCCCAGAAGATACTTTGGACCACCCTCTAGGATTGACCAGCCTTTAGAATTTACTTACTTTGCTTAGGCGATCCCTCGTTGTCTGAGTGGGATATTCTTCCAAGATCAGTGTACCGGTGGGTCCGTATGTGACTCTGGAGCCCTATTCTTGACCTGCATGTTCCCCTGCAGTGAGGGCATTGGTTTCCAGGTGGAAGGCGGTCCCGGTCAGGGTTGGCTTGATGCGCCTTCCTCTTGGCACATTTGGCACATTATTTATATAGATTAAATAAGTCTATATAAATAAAAATGTAATGTTTGTTTGTGGGATTAACAGAACTCAAAAACCAGTGGGCAAATTGACACCAAATTTGGACGGCATATACCTAACAACCCAATGTATGTCCTTCACTCAAAAAAAAAAATGATTTTGTCATTTGGGAGTTGTAGTTGCTGGGATTTATAGTTCACCTACAATCAAAGAGCATTCTGAACTCCACCAATGATGGAATTGAACCAAACTTGGCATACAGTTCTCCCATGACCAACAGAAAATACTGGAAGGGTTTGGTGGGCAGTGCCCTTGGTTTTGGAGTTGTAGTTCACCTACATCTAGAGATCACTGTGGACTCAAACAATGATGGATCTGGACCAAACTCTACACAAATACTCAATATGCCCAAATGTGAACACTGGTGGAGTTTGGGGAAAATAGAACCTTGACATTTGGGAGTTGTAGTTGCTGGGATTTATAGTTCACCTACAATCACAGAGCATTCTGAACCCCACCAACGATAGAATTGGGCCAAACCTCCCACACAGAACCCCCATGTGGGCCACAGCAATGCGTGGCAGGGGACTGCTAGTAAATAAATAAATGATCATGCACTTATATACACTTTTCAGGTTCAAAATTCCCCCTGCCCCCAGCTGGACCTGGCTTGGCTGTAGTTGGTGAAGCCCGGATGATGTCAGTGACCAGCTAATGGGAGAGTACGGCCTGCCTTGGCTGTAGGTTTCCCTCTGTCCAATGGCTGGAGAGGGGCTGGCAGGTCTTAGAACAATGGATGAAATGAAGACTAATGGTGGGATTAAATATCCCTGATATGTTGTCTCAGAGGCCCTGATGGGTCTCCCAATACTTTTATTGTCCCCTTTGATCCCAGTTCCTGATTAAGCTCAATGGCACGACCGCCAGACTTCCTTGTAAGTTCCAACAGAAAATATTGTCCATAGCTTAATGGTGTAACATTAGAAAATGTTGACCATTTTCACTCCCTTGGCAGTCACCTCGCCACAAAAGTCAACATTGACACTGAAATACAACATTGCCTGAGCTCTGTGAGTGCAGCATTTTTCTGAACGAAGCAGAGAGTGTTTGAGGACCGGGACATCCATAGGGATACCAAGGGGCTTGTTTATTGTCCTCCCAACCCTGCTATACACCTGCAAAACATGGACTGTCTACAGATGTCACACTCAACTTCTGGAATGATTCCATCAGCATTGTCTCCGAAAAATCCTGCAAATCTCTTGAAGACGGTTGGACAAATGTCAGCGTGCTGGAAGAATCAAAGACCACCAGCATTGAAGCAATGCTCCTCTGCCACCATCTCCGCTGGACCGGCCACGTTGTCTGAATGCCCGACCACCGTCTTCCAAAGCAGTTGCTCTACTCCGAACTCAAGAACAGAAATGGAATGTTGGAGGAAAGGAAAAGAGATTGAAAGATGGGCTCAAAGCCAAGCTTAAAAACTCTGGCAATGAGAACGGGAAGCCCTGGCCCTTGAGCGCTCCAGCTGGAGGTCAGCTGTGATCAGCAGTGCTATAGAATTTGAAGAGGCACAAATGGAGGGCCAAAGAGAGAGGAAGGTGCGTCAAGCCAACCCCGACTGGGACCACCTTCCACCTGGAAACCAATGCCCTCACTGTGGGAGAAGATGCAGATCAAGAATAGAGCTCCACAGTCAGCTATGGGCCCACCACCAGGACACCAATCTTGGAAGACAATCCTACTCAGACAACGAGGGATCGTCTAAGTAAGTAAAGTAAGTATTGTCCATAGCAATGTCCAATGGCTGGAACCCCAGGTTTCGGCGGTGACCAGGGGAGCATTTGCACAGTTAAAGCTTGTGCGCCAGCTGCGCCCGTACCTTGGGAAGTCTGACTTGGCCACGGTAGTCCACGCTCTGGTTACATCCCGCTTAGACTACTGCAACGCTCTCTACGTGGGGTTGCCCTTGAAGACTGCTCGGAAGCTTCAAATGGTCCAACGTTCGGCAGCCAGGTTGCTAACAGGAGCGGCACTCAGGGAGCACACTACTCCTCTGTTGCGCCAGCTCCACTGGCTGCCAATCTGCTACCGGGCACAATTCAAAGTGCTGGCTTTAGCCTATAAAGCCCTAAACGGTTCTGGCCCTACTTACCTCTCCGAACGCATCTCCACCTATGAACCAACTAGGACATTAAGATCGTCTGGGGAGGCCCTGCTCTCGGTCCCGCCCGCATCGCAGGCGCGTTTGGCGGGGACGAGGGACAGGGCCTTCTCGGTGGTGGCCCCTCGGCTGTGGAATGCCCTACCTGTGGACATCAGACAGGCCCCTTCACTGCTGGCATTCCGGAGGAAGGTCAAGACTTGGCTTTACGAACAAGCGTTTGGCTAAATAGTGCAATGGAATACAGGAAGATGGTACAACCGAACATAGGAATTGGTATAAAGGATTATGATTACGGATTCTGATTCTGATTTGTTGCTGAGGCACTACGATTACGATAATGATTGTTTTTTGATCTTGTATGTTTTGTATAATGTGTTTTAATTGCCTTTTTCGATATTGTTGTGATAACCTTTATTATGTAAACCGCCTTGAGTCGCCATTTCGGCTGAGAAAGGCGGTATAGAAGTAAAGCAAATAAATAAATGGCTGGGAATAACACAGAGGGAGAATGGCCTTTCCAAAGACCAGGGCTTTATTATCCCTTAACTGGAAATCTCATGCTGGATGTTAAATGTCATGTATCGTCCCAGC